TTATCATACACTGGCAAGATAGATTTGCGTTTGATTTTTGTAGAAAATTGCACAATCGATATGGCGTGCGGCGTCGACACGAGATGCCAACTCTCATCCGTGTGATTGCGTCGTCGCGAAGTTATTGTACGCTGGCGAGATAGATTCGCGATTGACAAACCGCACGATCTATTCGTGCTGTGGCGTAGACACGAGATGTCCCCGCTCTCGTTTGTGATCGGGTTGCGAGGGCGAGTAACACAGACACCTGGATGATTGTCCATGTTCCATAGGTGGCGGGTCGCCGCGGAGGATCGAGGTCAGCCGAGAGAAGGTGACCTCCACGATTCCGGCCGGCTGGCTGGACGATTACTGGACAGTGGACACTACGGCAGAGCTGCTGGTGATCACGGGTGAGAATGAGCTAGCAGGCAGAGTGTGGGCAGCTTTTGTGTGTGTATTGTTGTCGTTCAGCGGTCTAGCGCGCTGTACGTTTGGTCAGAAAATGAAATGTGCAAAGTGAAAGTTGTTTTATTGTCTCACCCATTGATCTTGTGGCTTACCTTTGGTGTTACTTTCTTAACCCTTGACATTGTGTCATACCTTTGGTGTTATTTTCTTAACCCTTGACATTGTGTCATACCTTTGGTGTTATTTTCTTAATCTTTGACATTGTGTCATACCTTTGGTGTTATTTTCTTAACCCTTGACATTGTGTCTTACCTTTGATCTAATTTTCTTAATCTTTGATCTTGTGTCTTACCTTTGGTGTTATTTTCTTAACCCTTGACATTGTGTCATACCTTTGGTGTTACTTTCTTAACCCTTGACATTGTGTCTTACCTTTGGTCATATTTTCTTAACCCTTGACATTGTGTCTTACCTTTGGTGTTACTTTCTCTACCTTTGACATTGTGTCTTACCTTTGATCATACTTTCTTAACCCTTGACATTGTGTCATACCTTTGGTGTTACTTTCTTAACCCTTGACATTGTGTTTTACCTTTGATCATATTTTCTTAACCCTTGACATTGTGTCATACCTTTGGTGTTACTTTCTTAACCCTTGACATTGTGTCTTACCTTTGATCATATTTTCTTAACCCTTGACATTGTGTCTTACCTTTGGTGTTATTTTCTAAATCTTTGATCTTGTGTCTTACCTTTGGTCTTGTGTCTCTCGCAGGTCTGATACCAGAGGCAGTGGAGTTTGCGAAGGGCGTGGGAGATTGGAAGGCTGCTGTTGCTCTCGCTGCATCGCACCTGCAGCATCAGACGATGCTAGCTGAACTGCACCCACACAGGTTTGCAACCTCGAACGTGCGATCGTGACCGTAGGCAATTAGCACGATCAATTAAGGCTTCGGAATTAATTCCCGGCTATTCTCTTCTTTTATTTATTATTTTATGTTTATTATTTGCACCTTTGCCTGTCTATGTGCCACGTTCCCCTCAGTGCCCTTACTGTAATTTCTGGTGGTCGTGGCAAGCCGATTTTTCATCCATTACACTGTTCTATGCGTCACATCCTACTTACGTTCTTTGGTCTGTTCACAGTTCACTTGTCTTGGCGATAATCGGTATCAGCGTCTATAAAGTGTCGGAGAACTCCGATTCCTAACGTCTCGAGTGTGTTGCCCACAGGTCGACGGCCAGCGTGAGTCGCCTTCCTTCCCTTCTCCATCCCGCTGCAATACTAAAGGAGAAGCTGACGGAGATGCTGCAGTTAGACTCTGCGATCGAGGAGGAGCAGGCGGCGGCAACGACGAGCAACACCGGCTTGACCGCGGAGCAGGCGACGTCGTCCCTGCGCGAGATTCTCACCGCGGGACTCCTCGCCCGCTCAGCGCTCCCTCCAGGTGGCGCCGCCGACGCGGGTCTCGCGGCGTGGCTGCTCGCGGCGCTGCTCGGGAAACTCAAGCGGCAGGTGCAGCAGCTCGCAGTGTTCGTACCCGAGCCACACTACCTGCCGGCGCCACCTGTCTTCTGTCCGCAGCCATCGCTAACGGAGGAGGTGCGTCACAAACTCGCGTACTTCCGTGTATTTGTACTTCCGTGTATTTGTACTTCCGTGTATTTGTACTTCTGTGCATTTGTACTTCCGTGCATATTGTACTTCTGTGCATATTGTACTTTTGTGCATTTTCACTTTTGTACTGCTTTACGGTGTGCAGTGTCATTAACGACTGTGTGCCTTCATTCGTGTTCCACTGTAAACCCTTTGAACGAATAATATAAAAATATAAATACTTTTAGTACTTTTGTGCACTCGTCACGCGTAGCTTTTTGCGAGCAGCACACTTTTGTGAGGGTGCAGATTGATGCTTGATGTAGACGAGAAGCAGAATTATATATTTATATATTATTATAAATTTATAATATAATT